GATATTCGGAATCAGCCCGACGAGCTCTATCCAATCATATATGTTTCACGGAAATCTACTTTTCTGCTTACCTTACGAATTTGGAGGCACCTTAAGTAACATAACAGTTACTGGTATAAGCTTGATTTTATTGCGCCAATCTTTAGAATTTATCTATTTTTTTAGAATTTAGTATTTTCCCAGCGAATTTCTATTCTCCACACTACTATGCCATTGATTTTTAGTATGTGGGAATGAGTGGAAATGATTTGCAACTAGTACAAAGGGCATTGAATCACATCTATAAAAAAATATTCTCAATCAGACAGCAGAATTTTTGTTTAATGTATTTGTTGTCGGATGATCAGACGTTTAGTGATAAAGAACAGTACATCGTCACTGGCTCGTATTTATACCAGAAGAATAGCTTCCTGCTAATGTAAATGTCTGAATAAAACATTTAGATGTATGATTTGTTGTTGTATGCACCGCCTTTTCACTTACACTTATATTCGGACATAGTAGAGACAGAGAGAGAGAGAGAGTCGATTAGTTATTTCTTGATTAATTTACAAACGTACAAAGATAGAATGATTGGTTTTTCTGATCACCGTTTTGAAAGTAAGAGTAATACAATACATAAAGTAAGTTTTGAATACAAGATACTAAGTTAAAATTAGAGCGGTTCAGCACGAAAAAATATGACTTTATTCTCTGTAATAATTGTAATCCAATCACGTTAATGCCTTCGTTAAATTTCTTCATATTTAATATGTAACACAGGAACAATTTCAATTATTTTTTCTAATTCAAGTGGAAAATGAGTTTCAGTTTTCATTTTGACCAGGTCATTCAGCATTGAACTAACAACATGACATATCCTCTCTCCCTCTCTCATTTCATTTTCTTTTGTTCTCTCTTCTTTATTTTCGCTTTTGGTCATCGATGGTGCCTGTCCATGTCATTAGACGGAGACAAATTGAACTTCTTTTTTTTCAGAAATAGTGAAATTTGATCACCCTACTTCCCCTTTATTCACTCACTCTTGAATATTGTTTCATGCATAATCATTATCAAGATAAACTTCAAAGTAGACATCCACACACACGGTGATAATTGTAAATTGTAAGAATTGAGAAACCGGACATAGAATATTTTACGTATGATTTGAATGCGCGTCTAATTAACCTGGCGGGTGACTATACAACTATTAATCGTTTATTGATAGACTTGAACTTAACCAAAGTCCTAAAGGAGGATAGTGATGAGAGTATTAACAAATAAAAGACATCTAAAGAAAGGTCGATATGTGTGATGTTAAATTAATTAACTTTGTTTTTCTCTCGAGTTCCTTTGTATTATATAAAAGGAAAAACGAAAACAATGAACGTCAAACAGTCCGACATATCATCATTAGTACATTGTTTGGAAATCAATCACCTTGAAAAAAAAACTATTCTCGTTGCCGTCTGCTCTGTGATTTATGCTTCACAGAATACTTTCTTTTGTTTCGATTTCTACTCCTTATTTCAATGTACAGTTGATATAAGGCGTTGTTTGTCTATAAAATATTGAGATAGTTTTCATTAAAAAAAGATATCTCAACTATCAGATGAAATATCAATAATTCCTAATGTCCAATGAAACAGCAGACAGAAAATATTTTACAGTATAATGAATCAAATTTGACGTCATCAAATTATCCTATCAGAATAATTCATTTTAATTGTCATTTTATTTGCCGAAATCTGGATGAAGTTTACTTTTTCTCCTTTTCGGCGAAGTTGTCATGTTTTATATATCATGGAGCGTTAGTACAATTTAGTTTGGCCTTTTTTTTTATTCAAAAGAACCTCTTTCTGGCAAATAAATGAGAATCCTTAAAACATGTTCAAATGATTATAGACACCACTCGTGATTTTAAAATAACAGACGTATTAATAATTGTGAAACAGGATGAATCAGTATGATGTCAAATATATATACTTCATTATGAGAGAGAAAAAGTAAAGGAGCTTATACACTATGTTGAATGAAATAATAAAAACAACAACAAAAGAAAAGATTATAGCTTAGATAAAATGGAAAGAATTAAAGCAAAAAAGAATTATTATCCTTTTTACAACATAAATGAGTACATTTTATACGGACAGTCGAAATACTTTTGTGAAACCGATAAAGTTTTCTCACAAGCTTGTTCTAATACAAAATAAAGAGTGATTTTATGATTTATTGTACTTTCTCTGAAAAAGAGATCTTTAAAAATGTGTTTTCACACTACTGACAGGGTGGATGGTTTCTCCGTTGATCGTGTTTCTCGACTATCCTGTAGTAAAAAATATCTAAAGAAAACTCACAGTACTAGGCTTTGTGAAAATTCTTATCTGAAACGAAATTTTGAGTATTTTGTTAGAAAAACTGTTTGATTATATCCTTTTCTCGATGTTCAATAACTTCTTTTTACACACAAACACACACTTACACTTTCACTCCAATAAATCGTTCAATCTTAATTCTATAATAGAGGGACATTTGCGTGTTGTCATCGATCACTATTTTAACGTTGACAAACCTTGTCAAAAACGATTATCTTCTCTCAATATTCATCTAGTAGTACGACTACTGTCTATTGAATGAACTTAATCAAAAGTAAACTGATAACTCCTATTCGATCTTTTTTCATACTTTGTTTGTGTTGTATACTTCTATTTTGAAAATAGAATAGTACGAATACTCAATTAATTTGTCCAAATTCTTTTCTTTCTTTTATTGTTTTGATTAAGAGAATGTCAGTGAGATAGTGATACGAATTATTATGATAAGAAGAAAACACTTAATTATGAAAAATCACGCGAAATATCTTTTAATTGCTTTTTTTTTGTATCTTAAAAAGTAAAATTTGTTGAAAAATGAAGAATGAAATTGTTCTTTTTTTTTTTGTATTAATGTTACTTGTTGTATTATAGTCTACTATATTGTTTTGTGAGAAGAACTAATAACAGGACATATTATGAATTACACTCTAATAACAGTCAGTTAGTCCTCGTCATTTGTACTAGTTTCAACTACGTCTAGTTCAAACGAAGACGAGAGAATGTAAGTATCATTTCGCGTTTATTAAATAAAGAACTATTATCATCAAAATTGAGCTTTTAAGCAAAAGAAAAAATTTTATATAAGTAAAAAACTTGCCACAATAGTCAGACTTTTGATTAAAAAACTTCTTATACAAAAGTAGTTTTGTCTTGAGTAGATTGTGTATGTACACCTGAAACTAATTATTTTTGTTATATTGATGATTCAAAGATGTCTATTTAAACAAATGAATGTTTTACAGATGATCGTCAACAAGACAAATCAATTTCCGTAAGCTTTTCTTTCATATGTTTATTTCATTTATCACTACATACTATACTATATGATACTGAATTTTGGCAAACAAAAAAAAAAAAGAGAAAAGAAATAAGGATAACTATCTTTCAAGGTCTTCTATCTTAAACATCTCTATGATAAGCAGACACGCACAAATCGAATTTATTTAGCTTTCGACTATACATCAATTTTATTTCTATTATTGCATTATATATTAAATCTCTTAATATAGAAGATCTTTCTTCTTCTTCTCTTTTCTTTTCATGTAATCAGAAATTATTTTCTATCGACTAAATTCAAGTCGTACAGATGAAATACAACTATTCTTAGCTTTTATATTAAGTCAAATTAGATTCATACCAATTTGTTAATCGAGTAGTCAGAATAACAGAAGACAAAATACACAACAACTTTGACGTATGTGTGAGATACTGAAGTACGCTTTTTGTTAAAATATATAATGTAATAAACTTTAAATTTATGAGAGATTTAATTTGTTTCAAGTTAACTCTCAATGGATTTATTGGTTAGTATTACCTTGAAACACATAACATGGACAATTAAGAGTAAATTGAATTCTCTCTCTTTCTCACTCTCGCTCACTCTGTCTATTTGTATATGTTCCTTATTATATTTTTCATTCTAATCCGAACTGTAGTCTTTATTTCTCTTGGACGCGTATAGGTACCCTTGATTTGTACGATGAGTGTAAAGTCTATAGGATTTGAACAAGAAAACAAGAGAGAGAAAGAAAGAGAGATCAAAGAGCTCGCTCTTGTAAAAAAAAATATAATTGTATAAATTGTATATCGTATGAACGAAAGAGTCAGAGAAGGAAAAGAAAAGAAAAGAAAAGAAAAAAAAACAAAGAATTGATGGTAATATAATAAATAATGATATTTAATAAATCGCAGAAAAAAAAAGAACGAAAAATTGTTGAAATTTATTCTTTATGTTTGTCACGGTGTGTGGAACAGATAAAAGGGAGAGAGAAAAAAAATAATGTTCAAAAAATTGAGCTACTTTAAAGAAAACATTTTTCAAAAAAAAAAAAAGAAAAAGGTATAGTAAAATGTTCATTTTAGAAAAAGCAAAATGGACAGATGTGTGTATTTTATTTCTTTTCTCGTTTTGTTTCCACAAAAAAAAAAACTCCTTTTTTTTCCTTCCATTTGGTATCATATAGCAAACATGTCCACACCAAACTATCATTTTGTTTCTTCTCATAGGTTCTAAGCTAGTTTATAGAATGATTGTTTCCACCTTGTGTACACTCTCTTCCATGATTCCTAGTGAACGTCGTTGATGTTCTTTTCTCTCTCTCTCTCTCTCTCTCTCTCTCTCTCTCTTTTTTTTTTTCTTTCTTTTTTCTTTGTATAATCATGAAAACCACTTCCGATCGTCCTTTTCATTATTATTATTACTATTATTATTAAAAGAGAATCAAACGGTTATCTTCTAAAAAATGAAATTTTAGTTGTATTCAGAATAAATTCATATTTTCGTTTTTTATGTTTAAACAGTGTGTATTCAATTCTTTTTATTTTCTAGAATATCAATTATTCACATATTAATATTATTATTATAATTATGCGATATTATAATCGAATACTAACGCTATCTTCATGACGATATTGAAAACATTTGCGATGTATATTTGTACCGAATTATTCTATACCTATTTTACAATGTCAACGTTTTTATTTCAATTATCATGGCAGCATTCTTCTTTAATATTACCATCAAATCACTATCACAGTGATGATTATGATAACACGAGGGACGATGCAAACGAAATTGATTCGGAACATATATCAGCATATAGTGGACAAGCAGCAAAATTCGTCTGTGATTTACCCGAAAAATATTCAGGAAAAAGAGTAAGTAATTAGAAGTTTTGATTAATTTTTGTTTGTGTCAAAATTCAATAATTGATTGAATTAATAAAAACATCAAAAAATTATGCTTTTATCAAATAATATCCGAAAACTGTTTCAAAAAGTTCATAAGTTTAGACTTTAGATACTATAGTCCAATTGGTCAAAATAATATTATCAATTGAACAAATTTCTTAATTTTATTCGACTAATGTCTTCATAAAATCAATTTTTGACAATGATCATTAATATTAATTAGGTATAAAATGTTATTTTAATTTCACATATCATTTTTTTTCGTTTCTTTATCAAAAATATTTACTATGAAATTAATCACGTGTGTTGTGTTTGTGTGTGTGCGTGTCTTAGGTGATAGCCAACATTGCCACCACCATTTCAATAGTTTCGTAATATATGCCTTCTTATTTGTTCACAACCTACCATCACTGGGAGATAGTGGAAAAATAAAGAAAATCGATTGTGTTCGACAAATGTTTGTATTAATATTTCGACACATCTTCATCTATTTATTGTTTGTTTGATTGGCGTGATGAAATGAATTTTTATTGATGATGAACATTTTTTTCTTTCTTTGCGTTTATATTCATTAATTTTTTTTTTGTACGGTCATCATTTCCCTCCTTAACGACGTCGATTGTTTATTTGATTTAGAATCTCTATCTATCGTTCGTTCATTTACATATGTAAACATTAATATAGTCAGTTCGATCAAGGACTATAGTTGATACACGTCCCTTCACAATGCCATTATTTCATTTGTACCACATTGAGAACAAAAACAATGTCTATTTATATATGGCCTTCGACATACACACACACACACACACACCAAAAACTTTGATCTCAACCGTCGTATTCGTTTGTAACAGCTGTAGAGATTGTACTTTATTTACGATAGTGGCTAGCGTCTTTCTTTGTTCACTTTAAATAGTCTATACGTGATTTGTGATACAAATTGAATTCAATTCTCAACAGACTGTGTATCAGTTCACAAGCATATTTGTGACTTTACTCAATTCAGTATTAAACAAGATTTATCTCAGAGATTGCAACGCCTTAGTTTGAGATTTGTCCGAAGTTGACAAAATCGGTAATAATTACTCAAATATTGGCTATTTTCAACTCAGTTCTAATCCTATTATGTCTTTTTTACATGTCACGCGCAAGATTGATTGATTATAGACGTTGTAGTACTGATGATTGAATGTTCGTTTAGCGTTTTATCAAAAAAACAAAAAAAAATACACATCATTAAAACAAAAAATATAGTCACTCATGTAGTGTTTCTCTCAATTTAAGAAAATGGATCATTTAGTATTGAAAATGAGACTCTATTGCTACCGTCGCCAAGTTGATGTATCTATCAAACATGTTATCTTGATCGATTTGTATAACGAACGTGAAAAAAAAACGAATTTGATATCTTTAATGAGTTTAGAGAGACTAAAAGAAAGAGATAGAGATACAAAGATCTTGTTTCTGGACAAATACTCTTCCTCATTCGTGTTTATCTGATCGGAACTCGTTTTTTTAGTTTGCGTAATAATAATAATAATAATAGATGAATTAGCATTACAAATGATCAACTCATAACAAATAAATTGTGAAGAGAAAGAAGAAGAAAAGAATAGAGCTCGACAGGCAATTGTTTAATCTAGAAAAGAAAGTTCATGGTAAAACTTTGAATAGAGATACTGGTATAACTTCAAAACTCTTGGGTATAAAAAAGGAATTGCTTGCATGCAAAACACATCTACCAACAAAATTTAGATAATTGTGTTATATACACTATTATTTTTCACGTAATACGGATATAAAGAGAAGAGACAAGAAAAAGTTTATAGTGGCTAGCTCATTAATCATTAAATAGCATGCAATTTCTATGAATAATAACGATTACGTGATGGAAAGTCTTAATTTTCACATAGAAAGAAGAAAGAAAATGGGGAAAAATAAATAAAATTCCCTTTATGGTATTTATCAAAGTGAAAAGATCAAAGATTTTTCTGTACCGGTCTACTTAAGAAGCTATTTCAAAAAAAATTTCGTAATACGTTCAAAAACAGAAACGCTGATTTTTGTTTTTCTTCTCATTTTCGAAAATTTTCCTTTATCCTGACTGTTTGTAACAGTTAGTTATTTTTTTTTGTCTCTTTTAGGCTGATTTTTACGGTCCTTACGGTCGTTTGTTAGACGATTCAAACGGCGGTGACTCATGGTCACCAAATCGTTATGCCACTGAACGAACGTATGCATGGACGTATACAATTAATATTAATGAAGTAACAGAGGATGATGTTGGCGAGTACCTGTGTAAAGTTGGAGAACATGTGATACGAAAATTTAATTTAACAGTTTTGAGTAAGTTTTTATTATTATTGTTGTTGTTGCTAAAGAATGGCTGATACCAGTATAGACAATTTTCTCGTGATTGTGTTATTGATCAAAAATGAAAAGAATACACACTGTTTATTTTGACGACATCTGATATATTGAGCTAATTTTAGGTGTAAGTAAACACTATTCTTTTCTCTCTATGAAACATTTTAATGATAGTATAAAAAACAGCAGTAGTACCATTTAATGACATACACAAGATCTTTGATAGAAGCGAGAGATAATGTTTACAATATCAAAATCACAATGCCAATCTGTGACATTTTATTAAGCTCTAAAGCTGTCACCGTTATTAATGTTTGCCTGCTATACTAATAACATGATGTGATTAAAATCAAACGCTATAACATGAAAACTTTAGAAATATAAACTATTAATTGAAATATGAGCAAGTGTAATCAATTTCAAAACGGCAGATGTAGTTTAGAGATAGACAATCGATTTTTTAAAGTTTAAGTCAACAACGCTTTACCGGCAATTGTTTTAGAGCTCAATGCTCTTCTTATACAATTTTGTCATTGACTACTCAAATTTGGTTATTTATCATAAAAGGCAAAGATATTATTTTACGTTGATTATACATATTTATTGTTTTAATATGACTTTTATTTGAATGTTGAAAAGGTCCTTTGTTTGTTTGCCGACGTTTAGTTAATTTGATTTTGACTAATAAACTATTTTATGTTACTTATTAGTTATTTCAGCTCATCATCATATGTTTTTAGCAGAGATATCATGAATCATTTATATAGAAAATCTTTATCTCTTCTACTCTCTTTACCAAGTTATGCTTTAGTATACAAGTATTTAGGCTTTTGTCTGCTCACTATATCCGCCTAAATACTAAACATTCAATTGTTCCCGTTTTTGCTCATAAGAGAATTCTTATCAGACGCACGATAAAGCTAACTCCGAATAACACCATCTTCGAATTACATGAATCATTTTATTGTTGCCACTACCGAAAAACTATGTATAATGTTGTACTACCATCACAACAGAGTAAACAGTTAAATCTCAATCAGTATCGCTGTTTCAAATGACTATTTTCCTCGTTCTCTATCGTTATATAAGATAAAATTGTAAGTCAAACTTGAATTACGCTACTTGAGAAGGAGTTGTAGACACGCTTTTTCTTGAGTACTTTTGTTAAACTTGCGAGCCATTATCAACTATGTAATCATAATTGATATAATAAATAACAAGTAAACGTGTGTCACTCTAAGTAGTAATATCATTAACCTTACACTATTAAGAGAACTGAGAGAAAGCAACTTTTTTATATTAGAAATTTTCTTTCATCGTTAGTACCATGAAATTTTTGGAAAAGGTGAAGGATTGAGTAAATACTAATATATTTCAATGGTTAAGACAAAAAAATTTAAAATTGTCTTATTAGAGTATGGCTAATAAAAACTTTCTATGTTATTGTTGATTTCTATTTGTTATTTCCTTTAGCAAACATTTTTTCTTTTAAAACGTTTTATTTTCAACTATAAATAACAAACGTTATATCTGGTATTTTTATGTTTCCGTAAAATCTATTATATATCTAATAAATCTTCTATTCAATGTTCATTCTAGTGACTATAAAAACTCTTTCTTTTTCATGATACAGATCATAATGATTTGTATAGTGTACTCTCGCGTCCAACTGATCTTGTTCTTTAAAGATAATGCACTTGTCTTCTCGAGTTTGCGTGTCCAAAAACATAAACGTGCTGGTGTCTGTTATTCTAACAAATTTTTTCCCAAACTGTTATTGTCAAGAAATGAATTAACGTTTTTCTCTTTTTTTTTCTTCATGTGTAATGTTTATGTTATCATGGTGATTTTATCTCATACTACGTTGTATGAACATTCTTGACATTTTACATGTCTTAGAGAGAAGGATACAAAATGTTTTGAATTCAAGGTTAGAAAATTTTCGTTATTTTATGCATGATTTGGTGAACTCCCATGATTAGTAATAGAATGTAAAAAAACAAGTCACGATGGTCTAATATTCGCATGAACTAATCTATAAACAATCAGTCTTTTCAACTGAATTACACACAGAATAAATATAACGTACTTGTATTGTACAAGTCTACAGTTAGATGATTTTTTGAGTTCACATGAGAGATACTACATATTCATTACACAGACAACTTTGCCCTGAACAACAGGAATACACCAAATAGGTAGTTAGATTTTCAATGCAGACAAGAGACGTCAGTGTATTTAGCAACTGTCAAACAACTTCACGGAGTTATCCAACGAATGATGATCTTTTTACAAGAAATTGATGTTGAGTTATAAAAATGATCTGTATGTGACAGATAACCAGCTAAATTGTCATGTATCTGTTTCGTATACTCTAGTGAAACTTCTTGAATCAAGATCATGACTTCTTGATTTTTTTAGTAAAATCTTACTTAAGATCTTAGATACAAGAATTGTGACTAGGAGTAGACTCTTAATGTGCTTAACTATAGTTGAATATATATATATATGTGTGTGTATAGTGTATATACAAATCAAAATCAATTATATAATAAAAACATTATTGTCCATCGGTGTCGTTTACTTTTATAGAGATTGTCAATAACTATGTTAACCACTTGACATTTATTTTCGTTTTATTATTTCAAGTATTTGTAAAACATGTCGATAGATTATATTGAAATAGATGTTTTATTACATTCGCATACTCATTCTTAATAAGGTGAGAAATTTTTTCTAGTTGTAATTTTATTTTTTATTTTTTACTCTAGTTCAATGTGTACATATATGTATATGCATAAAGTAAGTGTTATTATTTGTCGACGAGACTAATGAATGAATAACGATAACGTTCAAGTGCAAAACATATTTGTATGATAAACGTAAAACGATACTAATGATTATAAATTCTCATCATCATTACAATTTTTGAACTACAATGACAATTGTTGGGTTTTTCTTTATTTAAAGTTTTTTTCCGGTTTTCTTTCTTACATATGGGACAAATGACATGTGTCTGTTGTCCACCATCGATATTTTTGTCCTTGTTTAAATGTCCATTAGTCAAAAGAAGAAAGAGAATAAACATGGGTATTTAGACACATTCATCATAGACAATATATGTATATGTTCCGTTTTTTTCTTTTTGAAATGCTGACAACCGCACCACGTACACATATTAAATTGACTATTCCATAGAGAGACATTGATTTTAGTCATAAACTTTTATTTGATTGTGCATGTATAAAAGAATTGGAATAGACAACTTGTATGAATTATTATAAGAGAAATGAATAAAAAGACAAACAAATTTCGTTTATGAAGATATCATAAAAATCAGATCAATTAATTGTGTTTGAAGTTAAAAATGTGTTTCAAAAAATCATCGTCTTAGAATTATAGTCACTTAAATCTAATACTGTTGTATACAAGATATGACAGGGTTATGTAGAATTTTCAAATTTATATTAAATTTTTCATTTCAATGAGTAAATCTTTAAAATTTAATAGTATTATTTAATATAAGTCATTATTGTATATCCGGCTTCTTTGTTTTTTTCATTAATAAAGTACTTTTTTGGCTTAATTTCCTTAAAAATATTTTTAGAATTTAAAATGTATTATGTAATCGAGATTTTTAGCTTGAGGATAGTTCTATATTTCATAAATGATCTGATCCGGTACATACAACATCAATTACATTATTTTTTTGACTTATTCTTGCAAATGCATACAGTCTATATAATCAAGTGTGTGTTTGTGTGTTTGAATAAATTTCTTGTATTTCATGTCGTTGATGTAATGATGTCTCTCTCTCTCTCTTTCTATGTCCACTCATTTATCATAAGTTGTCTGTTTTGTATGTTATATATTAATGACATGGTGGATTTTAGTAAAACGTCGCCGTTGTCATGTGACTATCAAACTAAAACTAAAACGAGAAAACATCCCCAGACATATACTAAAAAAATTTTTTATTTATTAGATTAAATTAGAGAGTCTGTAAATAGCATGTTTGGGGATCGTAACTGATTACTCAAGTGGTCATTAACAAGGCGGAGACTTTTACATAAATATGCATTAATCAATATCCTGTCTGATGTCTCTTTTTCTCTACTCTCTTTTTTAGCACCACCTAAAATATTCGATATCAACGTTGAACCAAGAGATATGATAGAAGGTCAACAAGTGACATTAAAATGTCAGGCACAAGGAGTTCCAAGTCCAATCATTAGTTGGCACATTCCAAGAAGATCAATAGATGAGAGAAGTACGTTACCGTTTCCTCTCTCTCTCTATCTCTCTCTCTTTCTGTGTATATGTGCATGACAAATACGAAAAATCATTTATTTGTTATCAGTTGGATGAATATATGACACGCAACTAAACTTAATTGATTTGTTTTTTTGTTTAGACATAATTGCTAATAAACATCAATTATTCATTCGAAACTTTACACGTTCAACACCAAATGATTTTGAATGTATTGCTGATAATTCTATTCCACCACGTGATACAAAAGCTATTAAATTAATTCCAACAAGTATGTATAATTCATCTTCATTTAATATATAAAATTTAAATAATATCTTTTTAGTATCACCCGAGATTAATATCCAGTATTCTTTATCGCGAACAACACGACAAGGTTTATCTAGTCTTATTCTTAATTGTACAGTTATTGCTAATCCACTATCATATGCAAGATGGAAAAAAAATCGTCAAGACATTCATCAACAACAATCAAATACAGTTACTATTCATCAAAAAGTTGTTAATGATATACAATTAAATATTGTTCTAAATGTCAAAGTAAGAAATGTCATACATGTAAAATATATGGTTACTTCTACTTGCAGAAATGAGATGAGTTAAAATTCTATATTGTATTAAGAATATTATGTACTTTCTCATCAAATCTATACAAGTCTCATATCCTTGTATTATAAAATGAGTCAGCTATCTGTAACTTCCTTTCTCTAATGATAGATAAACTTCTTTTTCTTCTTGTCTAATCGAATGCATCAAACACGTTTCATTGAAATAAAATAAATACAGTCATTTGATGATTAGAGAGAATGAGAGACAGTGAGATGTTGTGATGTCATATTAAATGTAAGGTGTATGCATCTTTTTACATCAAAGTCATATGAAGACATATTGCCCAGAAGACAAAAAATTTATTATGTTTTTTGTTGTTAAAGATGATGTAGAATTAACAGAATGAGAACTATTAACGGATATTGAATATTATTTAATACATAACATTTGAACAATTAATCGGATATTCGATTCTTGTTTCTCAGAAGGTGATATAATCTCTTTTTCTCTCTCTCTCTCTCTTGTATATTCATAAATAGTTTAATGTTTTAACATGGAGTGAAGATATATGTTATCCAGCTGCGATAAAATAAAATTAGGGGATAATATGATGTGATGTTTAATGATTAAAGAGAGTATAAACACATTTTGAAGTCAATAATTAGGTAATATACATAGACAAATGAATGATCTCATCGATGCACTCACTACAGAGTTAATTATTCGACGTGACAAAAGTGTAACAAGATCACGAAATATTTCCGGCTCGATAATAATAAATTGAACGGATATCCGGAACGTTTTACATCAAAAGACAATGAAATCGTTTGAATTCTATGCGCTTAATCATGGTAGTTTAGTTAAACATTTGTGCGTGCTTATAAAAGAGTGAATCATTCTTAAACGTTTAAAGCTAATTTTTAATTGTTCTTATTTTTATTGTTTTTCTAGGCTGAAAATATTAGTGACTTGTATGGAATATACGAATGTGAAGCGGAGAATCGTTTAAAAACAACAAAATCTTTTATTATTATTGATGGTAAGTTCGACGACAATTAATGGCAGAAATATTGACTGAGTACTTTATTAACTTTTAACATTTTTGTCTTTAGTCTGATGTAATAGAGGTCAAAAAGGCGATTATCAATTAAGATAATAGGTTACTAGATTATTTTGAGAATGTTGATTGAACATTTTTTTCATTTCAAGGAATATTACATAATATAATTTTCTATACTAATTGATATAGAACAGAGAGAAATTATAACATTATTGCTATTAATAAGATATTATCGCACACAAATTGATTAAAAAGTCCATTAGTTGAGTTATGGAAGAGTAAATTCTCACGATTAACAAATATGCCTAAGTAGTATACACATGCATCAGAGAGCTAAAATACTGAGAGTCAAAAACTAGTCTGATATATGTCGAAACAACTAGTATTCAATTTCTTGTAAAAAAGCAACATACATCGATATTTTAACTTATTAGGTTTCATATTTTAGAAACAAGTTTAATTAATATAGCAAATGCTCAACCCACAAAATCTCAAAATAATCGTCACATCTATCGTCAACCATCGAGTAGTGATAGTAGTTCAACAACAGAAACTTATGGTATGGTCAAATATTATTTATTCATTACTTTTAGTAGGATTTCGTATTCTCTCTTCTCACATGTCGTTGCACCGTACTTATATATATATGTAATGAGTGACCGCCTATTTATATTCCATCTGTATCATAGAGAACAGAAAAGAAAACTTAAAAGCATTCACATAGAGACAATAATTTTCATAAAATTAGAAATTTTTTTTTCTTTCTTCTAAAGAGATCTTAGCAAAAGTCGTGAACATACAAGTAACATATCGCGGCACTCTTACAAGTCCATTGTCATAATATCATCATTTGAGTACAATTAATCCACTCTTTCCCCTTTTAATCACAATATAGATGAACAAAATGTGTTAAAGAATAATAACTAACTGTTCAAAAGTAAATATTCATCACATTTATTGTTAAGCATAAAGCATAAATTTAAATATCAATTCTGATGTTAACAATCAAAGTCTTGTTAGAAACTTGAGGAATTTGATTCTCAACATAACTATCTTCATTCATACAAAGATATACGATCAATTTATATGGAGAGTTTTTTTTTTGTTTTATTTTAGCACAAATTGAATTATTATTGAATACTAGTCCATATTGTCAATTTAACACTTATTTATTAATATTCATTTTGATACTACTATTATTTTATTCAAACGGATTTTATAACAGAAGATGATAGATAATATGATAAATAAAATTGGATTTCAATTCAAGGTGAAGACGGTGGAAAAATGATCGTGGCGAATAAAATAATGAATCTAGTCGAAAGCCTATTTACTGTGCTATTCGTATGTGAAACAAAAAATGATAGTTGTTAATCTTTATACATTGTTAGATTTAAAATTTATTTTTATATCAAGTAATTTCAACAGTGATATCAAAATTATTTGGATGATCAACAAACTTTACATTGTAGTAGCAATATATAGAATTTTATTATGTTAGAAAAAAAACGTCGTTTTCTGTTAATCTAGAATAAATTCGTTTTTTTTTCTTCTTCTTCTAGTTGAATAAGTCATCAACTAATTTTCAACGATAGACTAATACCATGCTCTAATAATTATACACGTTCATATTCAAAAGTTTGTCTGAAAGCTATTTGAGAATTAGAACATGTGCTGAATCTTTAAAGGTAGAAAAATTTTCCAGATCATTTAAATATGGTGCCCTTGAGCTATCAGAGTGATTAACATTATAATAAGCACAGATCAGCATGAAATACAAAAGGGGATTAATTACACATAAGAACATATTCAAGTCGTTTTATATCACATTATGTTGTTAATTTTTATACAAGAAGAAATTTTGAAATAAAAGATTTCTTATTTTCTTATTAGAATACTGATGATTTAAGCAATGGGAAGATCGGTTAATAGGCCGGAATGTCGTGTAGAAATGATCTTTTTGAAAATTGTGCTTTCATACCAGAAGACTTTTCGAAGGATTTCTAGAATAGAATTCTCTCACACAACCAGATCCGGTAGAAATTCTGTAAGCTTTTGCTGCGCGCTTTCAGTTTTTTTGATGAAAAGAAGGAAGGAAGGAAGAATACCCCGCCTTGCGGCTACCGTTACTGGTGTAGGATGTTGCTGTGGCAGTTTTCATAGCCCGATATCTTCCCTGCAGTTGACAAACTTCTGAAATCCCTGAAACCCATCTCGTTACTAGTCATCAACTGCAGGTCTGACCAGAAGGCTAGCCTGATACAGAGTTCCTTCATCCAATTACTTGAGCTCCCCTCCCCATATGCACTTCACTAAATACGTACTAGCTTTTCGGAAAGTCACGAGGACTAGCCGGAGAAGCTTATACGTCACAACGTATTAAGTATGCTGTAAGACGGGTGATCTGAGACACTAAGACATAAGTAACTTGCCCAAGATTATTACATGACTTTGCTAGCGCCGAGGTTCGAACACAGTACGTTTGAAATACCTGATGAACAACATAACTATTACCCACAGGATCTTTTTTTCGTATTTATTGCATTATAATGCGTTAGGCATATTGTAATGTCTTGTAATGTGTTAGCTTTTCTATTGTGTCATAACGCGATAAATTTAGAAAAAACATGTCTTTAATGCATTAGCGTAACGCGTTACGTGCCCAGAAATTGAAATTATAGTGTTATAATGCATTTTTATAATGTTATAACGCTATAAATTCGACTAACACGTTAATAGTTACAAGGCGTTACTAAATTCCTATCGCATTATAACGCATTAATCTGTAACGCACTGCAACGTGTTACAGGTTAATGTTTTATATCGCTATAATATCTAACACATTATAACATTATAAATTTGACTTGCAACCTATGCTGCCTTGATAAAAAGAATGCTTATTACTGCGTACCAAGTAGATAAATCATTGATTATTCCCTTGACTATTAATCAGGATCTTTCAGAATAAATTATATCTCCGTCACAAGTACCAACAAGCTATTAAAAACTTCTTTGGCTTATAATTCGTTTTGCTGCTTCAACTTTCGTTGAACCTAAGCTCTTACTGTGGTGCCTACTTATGAATACAGTTTTTACAGTTCATTCTAGTCGATGATGTGATTTTCGACTCGTCATGACTGGTGCGACTTTTACTTTCAAGCGAAGAGCTTCTTTTATTTCTACATTCTAATTCCGTATTCGTTCAACTACTTTTTACGATCAATAGGCAAGGGTATAGCGATTGACCAAGTGATGAATGTTATCTTGTAGTTTAGTTATTTTAACAAAATTGTAAGTGCTATATAAGGCCGACAGTTACTACACATTCAACCGCCGAAACTGAAGGATAGTATTAAAAAATTGTAATGGCTTAATTACGTTTGATGGTAATTTAAATTTGTGCAGGTAATCAACATTTGTAACTAAAACAACTAACGAGGAAACCCTCTAAGGTGTCCAACTCAGTTTTCTTTCGCTCATATGCCAATTGATAGTATATATCGAGGTAGTAAAAAGTCTAAAAGGGTTTGCGTCCATGGCTCCTGAAGGTCCGGTTTTCTGGAAAACCAGTTTTTCAACTTTGCAAAGAAAGATTGCGTAGAGCTGGGAGATGTCTCATTTTAATCAGACATTTGCGCGCTACAATCATGCCATATTCAGAAAAGGTTTTGTTTACTTTTTAGAGTTCTTGAAAAACTGGTTTTCCAGAAAGCGGGATCTTCAAGAGCCATGGGTACGAATCCATTTAGGCTTTTCACTACCTCGATATACTATCGATTCGCATATGAGAGAAAGAAAACTGAGTTGGATACCTCAGAGGGTTTCCTCGTAAGCTTCGCCAAATTGGAAAGTAGAACTAGAGATGGGCATCGGGACCAAAAAACGTTTCTGATCCCGATAAAAGATTTGATTGCCGTTTCATCACCTTCACGATTAAAATATCATTTGGCCGTGCATTTTGTAGAGAAATGTTTGCTCTTTCAGATTATATATTCTAAAATATACCACAGACCTTCGTTACGAATTAATTTGACAAATACAATGACCGGGACCAATCTGGTCCCGGTCGGTCTCGGTGATCTTGGTCCCGGTCATGTATTTGCTAAACTGATTGATAAAAGAGACTCGCGAAATATTTTAGAATATAGCAAACATAAGAGCAAACATTTCTCTACAAAATGCCCGGCTAAATGATATGGCCCAAGATTTTTAATATACTTCAAGCTGGAGAGTTCGGGTTTGTTTTATTTTAATCTAGACACCTAACTACATCGACTGACCGGCGCCGATTTTTCAGTTAAGCCTTTACTGGTTTTCCAGGCAACCCCTGCGAAACCCGAAAAAGCCTTCCGGATTTTCGAAACATCCTCAGTTTGACAAAAAACTAACATCTAATTCAAAAATCGACGCCGGTCAGTCGATGTATTTTTTTTTCCTCTTTTAAACGCTATGTTAAACGCTGTATGAAATAGTCGATTTTATGACTTCTAGGAAAATGTCTGTAACTTTTCGATGCAAGATCATACAGAGTTGTGCGAAGTCTTATTTTGATTAGAAACGTTTGCTCTACAAAGCTGTGTTTTCAGAAAAATTGTAATTGCATAAGTATCCAGGAAAAAAACATTATTTGAAGACCCATTTTTTCGAGGCTCTTAGAAAACTTGCTCAAAATCCCGAAAAAACCACTTTTGTAACCAAAAGCAATACAGATTCTGGAAGTAGACACTTCAGG